CCTTCTAGTCTTACACTGCTAAATTAGGGACGGCTAGCGCAGATAGCCCTCGTGTAGCTTTGCGCGAAATTCCAAAACAAACAAACATAAAGCCGTCATTATTAAAATGTCATATACTTTGATTCAATACCAGTCGATTGCCAATGTTTGATGGATTAACCAATAGTAGAAACGTTACCGCCCACGAACTTTGATTGACACGGGTGTCTTCAGAGCATGGAAATTTAAAGAGCAAACACAAAATGTCGAAATAAATAAGTGTAGGAGACAGAAAGTAAATGTCGAAATAAATAAATTAATTGTTGAATAAGTAAGTGCAACAATACCTATATTTATAAATTATCTCTCTTTTATTTATTTTTAATCGTTTCTGTCAATATTTAATTAGTCCTCCAGTGGGACAGCAGTCAGTTTACGGACTTGCGACGCGAGGATCTGGGGGTTGATTCCCCGTGGTGGACACAGCCGATAGCCTATTGTAGCTTTGCTCTAAAAAAAACAACCAATATTCAATTAATTTTAAATTTGGAAACAAAATATTCATCTTAAGTATATGCGGGTGTATAATAAGGACAACGTTATAATTAACAATAAGTTACAGAAAATAAACCGATCAAAATAACATTATAGTGAAATTGTTAATTGTTTTTGAAACTATTTTTTTATCCCAGGGATAAATAGCAAAATTTATCAGGAGGAAGCATGGACAGTGACGTTCAGAGGTGCGGAAGGTTGATTGACCAGGTGGACAGCAAATGGAGGGAGGACAAATTACCCGATGAAGATATAGCTGTGCCTCTAATTGAACTGCCTGACCCAGAACCAGATAATGGTAATCCCCATGAAACATTGAAAGAACAAGAACAGAAATGGACAGATCTAGGACTGAATAGGATAAATGATCAATCCCAGACAGGCCGAATTCCCAGTAATTAAACCAGAGTCAGAAGCGGAAATGTGTGCGACAAAAGACTGATTTTTTGCAACTACTGTGTCACACAATTCGGAGTGAAAAATAATCATTCCTCGTTTTATTCTGACGTTTTTGTTTTGTAAAAAACCAATAAAATCATTTGCTTATTTGTGAGAAGTATCATTTATTCATATTATATATCGATATTGTAAACGTTGAAATATATATATATATATATATACATGTATATCTTTGTACTCTTATTTTGCGATAAAAAATATTGAATAATTACCATGCATTTGTATTGAAATTATCGAATTATTTATGAATAATTTATACATTGATAAAGTAGAAATATAAAACAAGTAAATGGTTAATACTTTGTTAACGCCGAGCATGGCTTAGTTGTTAGCTTGCAGGGCTGCTTAATGAAAGGTCCAAGGTATGAACCGCGATATGCTGCTGTATACGCCTTTTTAACTGTGGGGGCGTTATAACTGGAACCGTCGGCTGAAAGTATCACTTAGGTAGCGGATGTTACTGCCTAATTTTTCTTTCTCTGGTCAATAATTCTAAATTAGGGATAGCTAAGCCCGGTATGACCTTAGTTGGTCTTTGATTTGATCATATGACTCGTGTGTCGCATATGGTGCCGTTCACTTTGGAAATATTAAAATACTAAAGTTTTGTTTTCCGTGTTATTGGCTCTTTTGATTATTTTCTTTAAAAAATGAACTTGCAAAACAGTAGTCTTGTGTGAATTAATTATCCATTTAATTGAGTTTTTTCAGTTTAGTTAGTGCTAAAAATTTTAGTTGTCCATGTTCAGTGACGATATTTATTAAGTTATGTGACAGAGTATTTCTCTTTCATTCATCAAATTGTAAGAGGTTAGTGCTCTGAATTTTAGATCTGGCGAATCGAATCTGTGCGATACCACAAAATATTTCCTGCACTTTAAGCTGTGGGCGCAATACAAGAGTGGCAGTCATCCCTTAACGTAACGTGGGTGTTAGGGTACTGTTGACTGGCTGTCTTACTTCTGGTCAGTAGTACAAAATTAGATTAAACGGGTCTGTCACTAATTGCACTCTTTCGACGTATATTGCATTAATAGACACAACCGTTATTCGGAGTTTGCACTGCCTGCCTTACAAAGAATACAAGCTCAATATAATGAGATTTTGAAAACGGCCTGTTAAATGACTCCATATTAGCCGACAGCAACATTCATAGGTATTGTATATACCGAAAGCAAACAAGTGTTTGAAACTGACCTCCGTATCAACTGTGGTTGCTATGCACAAGAAAATGTTTTGTATAATAAGCAGCGTCTTTCCGGTTCTCATTATCCAAATTTGTTTAAGTTTAATTTTACTTATTATTGCAGATAACAAAAAAAAAAACGTGACGACGCAAGAGTCACTCATGGTAGAAAATATCGATATTTGGGAAAAACAAAAATCGTTAAGATTTCTAGATCTAATTATTTGTATGTTAGTCTATTTTTTGGAGGTCAGCAATTTTATTTGCATTGGAAATCGTTAAGAAATATCTGGTTTGTGATATGTATTCTATGGGTTGATAGTGTTTGTTTTGAATTTTGCACAAAGCTACACGAGGGCTATTTGCACTAGCCGTCCCTAATTTAGCAGTGTAAGACTAGAGGGAAGGCAGCTACTCATCACCACCCACCGCCAACTCTTGGGCTACTCTTTTACCAACGAATAGTGGGATTGACCGTCACATTATAACGCCCCCGCGGCTGAAAGGGCGAGCATGTTTGGTGTGACGGAGATTCGAACCCGCGACTCTCAGATTCCGAGTCGAGCGCCCTAACCACCTGGACATGCCGGGCCAGGGTCGATAGTGAAGAAAAGTTTAAGGTTTTGATACCCGTGGTGGGCACAGCACAGATATCCCATTGTGTAGCTTTGTGCTTAACTATAAGTAACCAATGTCAAGAAACGTGATAAAACAAAGCGTTTTTTTTAATGATCGATTTTGTAAGATGTTTTGTATTTTATTATCTTAAGCATTCTAGTTTAAAAAATTAAGTGTTACATATTTTATGAAAAACGTTTCGTTTGTTTGTAAGTAAGCACAAAGCTACACAATAGGCTATCTGTGCTCTGTCCACCACGGGTATCGAAACCCGGTTTCTAGCATTGTAAGTCCGCTGTGCCACTAGGGGGTATTTTTGTTAGTTGAATATATCTTGTTCTTTATATCGGAAACTCGAAAATTTTCAAAATGCAAGGATTCACGCGTTGTACAGTTTAGGTAGACTGTTATATAACTGATGTACACAAGTTTATTTTACTATTATACAGACAGATGTTTATGGAATTTCTTGAACTCCCTGTATCTCTGTTATTATCTTTATTAACACAGTGTGCATGTTACGGGGATCTATTTACGCACCCGACGAATACAAACAAGTAGCACAATTACAATTTATCTGTATATAAAAAAGGGTTTTTGTTTGATAGTTTTTTCGTAGTAAACATAAGAATTCCAACTGAAATATTAAAGTATTTTGTATTTTAAATACAAATGATTTCAAAAGTGGAATAATAATATGAATTTATTGTTTTTAACTTGAAGACATCTCACGTAACTCGTATATTAAACAACCAGATTAGAGATCCTTAAGGGTCAGGCATAGTTGTCCCCGACGTATAAGCGATGAGCAGAGAGAGGACAACCAAACTGCAGCGCCCGTCACTTATACAGTTACTTTCAACCAAATGGCAAGATTGACTGTCACAGTTATAACCATCCTCCAGTTGAAAGTACTAAGCGTGCTCAGCTGTATATCACGGCTCGATTCTGGGATCTTCCAATGTGAAGTCCGGTACGCAAACTGCTAAACCAACCTGGCCCGACAGACTAAGTGAAAATACCCTATCAAAAAATCACTTGAAATTCTAGTTACGATAGTGTAAAGAAACATCAGAATCGAACAAATATAGTCATGGAATAACTAATAGTTTTGAGAAGACCTTAATAAAGTACAGTATTAGAAATAATTATAGAAATTCATAGGAGATATAAAAACATGAGTAATTGAACTAAGTTGTTAGTACATTATTACATAAACAAAACAAAAGACTTTTCTTTTTCAGAGCAATAAATCTTGTTGTTATGCTGCTCAAAGTTTCTGAACGTATGGTTGTGAAGTATTGTTCCAAATTTCTGTATTACTTCCTACAGTTTAGTAAGTTATTTGGTTGCCCTTTGACCTTGTCAGTTATTATATAAGTCAAGACTGTATTACTACCGTGCGATACCACAAAGTATTCAAACACTAAGCTATGTGTGTGTTCTAAAAGTGACAGTCAATCTCTTAGCGTGGATGGTGGGTGGTAGGGTGCTGCTGACTGGCTGCCTTTTTTCTATTCAGTAGTTCAAAATTAGAGACTGGGGGGCAGACAGCCTTAGTGGTTTTGCCATACAAGTACAACTAACCTTAATAATATCAATATTAGGTCTTTGTGCAGGTCAAGCCACTGTTTTTAACATCCAAGTATTGTTTGGTTGCTTGGGACCACTGTATTGCAGGAAGGTGAATGATCCTCTGCCCAACAGATCTTGTTCCCTAGGGAATGACATGGTGGATGTGGGATCAGTTTTGTGTAGATTTCGTAAAATATTGGCCGAGATGCAGGTCACACGTGTATTGGTCCCCCAGCATGCTTTAGTGTAGGTTTTGGACATTTATCGTTAAGCATTTTTTGTTTGTTTGTAATTAAGCACAAAGCTACACAATGGGCTATCTGTGCTATGCCCACCACAGGTATCGAAACCCGGTTTCTAGCCTTGTAAGTCCACTGGAGAGGAGCTCTTTAAACATATATTGTTTTTCTCTCTGTCAGAGAACAAACTATCTTTGATTGTTGCCAAGCGATTTGAAGTTCCATTCACCTGTCCTCCTCCAGTTTTGCTCACCTCATTGTTTAAAGTCTGATGCTTACTTCAGATTTTTGTTTGGTTATATATTTTTAAGGAGGGGTTTTTGAGCAGATACTATCCATTAAGATCACTTCATGCTAATGTATATCACACTGTCCTGGAGGTAATATTTACAGTTATACTTAAAGCTAGGTCGTTGACAAGAACTTGCCAATTTTTGTGTATCGTAAAGAGTGTTCTTTATTTGATTTAAAATCACTTTCAACGAGATTGTGTTTTTCACCATGACCACTTCTATTATCAACTATACTAGTTTCTTTAGAGTTTCCACAGAACTCGTGAAATTTTACATCAATCTACCACATGCAGTAATCTTTAACAATCCAGAATTTGATTTCTACACCTCTGTCATCTTTCAGTTCTGTTCAGTAAGCATTCACTGTACTACTGCTGAGAATAGTACAACAGCTTATTTTTTCATAGTTTTTTGGGTCTCGTTTGAAAACCATTACAACTTTTGTATGTGATCCTGTGTGCTAACTTAATCAGAATGCTTATTTTTTCATATGTATTATTCTGGTGTGGTGCTGCTGATTGACTGGCACAGCGGTATGTCTGCGGACTTACAACGCTAGAATCCGGGTTTCGATACCCGTGGTGGGCAGAGCACAGATAGCCCATTGTGTAGCTTTGTGCTTAATTCCAAATAAACAAACAAACATACAGCGAATATCGTGTAAAGTTTCAGCACGTGACGTACTTTGGTGAAGTTCATATTCATGTAACAGAGAGGGGGCAATCTCATAATAGTTTCATTTTATTTGCACTTTATCCACAGTTTCATAATTGTTTCCAGTACTTTACTTATTTATTATAACGCTACAAACCGGGTTTCAATACACATGGTGAACACAGCAAAGATAGCCCATTGTGTGACTTTGTGCTTAACAGCAAACAAATAGTTATTTACTTTTATACTTAGGTATACCTAGAGGAAAATACTTTTTGTTTCAAGCTATTATAATTTCCACAACAATATCTAGTACTAAGAAAACGTTTTACCTACTTTACTTCTAATCATCACGTACTTCAGTCGATATAGTTTTTTCCCCAAATTGAACTATAATGTTTGATTTATAAGTACTTGTTCTTTTGGCTTTTTTATTCACGAAAGATTATTCAATCTAAAAATTATCGTGATAATGATAATAATAGGAGAGCCTACCGCCATCTACTGTTTGAGTATAGAATGAGTG